AAAAAAAAAAAAAAAAAAAAAAAAGCATCCAAGGTTACAACATTCCCAATTATGGTGAACTCTGTTCTATTACTGAAACACTTTTTTCCTAAGCTTATGACAAAAAAGATAGTCATAACAGACTTGCCTCTACTTCCTGAGGCTGGGGAAATCATTAACTGTTAAAGACTGATGAAAAACACAAGGAAGTGTAAGGAACTTAATATTACCTAAAAATCATCTGTAAATCGTCTTTTCATCTGAATTGCCTAAACTAAACACAGAATAGATTTCCCTCCCAGAAGCAAGGCCAGCAAATCCCAGTCATGTGGGGGGGCGGTGTTTGGCGGAGGCAGGATTTGTAAAGTAAATCCTGATCAATTCTGTTTGGGATAAAGTACCGCTACTTCCATAAGCACCTTTCTACATAATTGAGTGTCATTTTGCCTCCTAATTTTCCCGTTCATGACACAGAATTGGTCAGCACCACTTAACAGCTTAAACTGAGTATTTCTGCACATAAAAAGTATTTTAAAATTTTTGTATGGTTCCTACCTGGAGATTTTGCAAGTGAAGCATGGAACACAGAGAAATTAATTAAGGCATATGAAGCCAAGAAGAAGTTGGAGATGATTGGAGCGATGACATTCAGTTCAGCTAAAAACACCAAAAAAAAAAAAAACACACACAAAAGCAAATGGTTATTAGCCTCATTATCAAAATATTTAAAAGACTGCAGGACCAAAAGTTTGCCACAAAAGCCTTTTTCTCAAGTAGAAAATGCTACAGCAGGATTCAGATATTTATGACCATTCTACTATAAACTCTTAACTGCAGGGTTTTTTTGTTTTGTTTTAAAACAGAAAGGCAATTCCTTCAATGTACATTGCAAGTATTTTCAATATACATGGTCACTCACTGCAAGTTTTTTTGGTTTTTGTTTTTAGGAAAAGTTCCAGCCTACTTAACTTGCACCTACACTCATGACTAACAAAACTGTTTGTAACTCAATGCATCGCTACACTATTTGTCAATTCAGAGCGTTTATAAACAGGCTTTGTGAAAAAGCCCATTCACACTAAATTCTTAATACTCTGCAATTATGCAAGATCAGGAAATGGATACATGCTGAACTGCTTACTGTGAATAGAGAATCAAGTACTGGGAATGGGAGCTATTAGGCAAGTGAAGTCTCACTCCCACAGGCAGAGAGGGAAGGCACTTCCTACAGTTAACAGAAGACCTGGAACAAGGCTACTAACTGCTAATGCAACCCCCTTTGTCTGTAGTGGCAAATTTCCCTTTTTGCAATAGTTGAGGTTATAAAATAATCTTGGCATGTTTAAATAGGTGTGTAATTTTGAGAACCGGTTTTTGGCGTCATTAAAATCTGTAGAAAAAAAAATAATGGCTACAACATCTGTGCTGTACAGAATTGAGAAGATGACCAGTAGCTTTGCCCTTTCTCCTTCCCAAGACGAAAGAAGGTTAGAGTCTGGGAGACTTAAAGGATTAAAAAGGAAATTTGGATTTAATTAAGTTATAGTAATTTATCTTGTGGTACTGTCTTGATCATGATCAAATCAAGTAACTTCCAAACATGCACGTGGACAATCCTCTAACCCAGTAGTCTCCAAACTTTTTTGGATTGCGCACCCCTATCAGTAAAAATGTTTTGAGCATGCACCCCCAATATATGTATATAGTTTATAAATAAATAAATATACATGTACTACTGTTAATATATAGATAGATAGATAGATAGATATAAAAAGAAGTTCTAATATTTTCTTCCTGCACCCCAATGGATTGTCTTGAGCACTCCACTTTGGAGACCACTGCTCTAACCCACCTACTGAACAATTTTAAAAAAGACAAACCAATAACTATAACTTTTAATATAAAAATCACTACCGAAGACCTTGAAGACCCTCCTCATCAAAGCATGGGAAACAGTATAAAAGGTTCATAACAAATATATTAATTATAACTACAAATTAAATATTAAAAACTAACCAATTAATATGAATCCAAGAGCTATTAAGAATGTTAACATATATCCTCTTAATGGTTCATTGTTCTTCCCATAACCTTTAGCAAACATTAGGAAACCAGGGTAGATATTGTCCTTGCATAAAGCCTGGAAAAAAAAAAAAAATACAAAGTTTGTATCTAAGCCAGGTTTTGCACAAGATGCACCAATGCATTTCAGAGGCAATGTCATCTAAGAGGGTATGGAGTTTGGACCAGGGACATATTAGTTCTATTCACAACACTATGCCTTTGCTTCACTGTCTCATCTTGAGGAAAGTAAAAAATGAGCAATGGGAAAAGGTGTCATCAATAAAAATGAGTTCATTTGCTCTTTTTAAAATGTGTTATTGATAGTATTACAATGAAAAGAATAATTCTTAACATCCACTATGGAAAAAAAATACATCTCTCCAATTCAACATAGTGTATTTACTTAGAATTTTCACCAGCTCCATTTCCTGTCTGGTTTCTATGCTTTTACACACACACACACACACACACACACACACTTTAGAGACCAACGTTTTCTTCCCAGAAGAGATGCAACAAGCAGAGTGAAGTCACACAAACTTGCAAAACAATATTCCCTTACTTCTGCCTACAGGAACCACCTCCAGGTGAAATGCATTTACCTTGTCTTTCAATCTAAAGCTCTACGCAGATCTATGCTCCCCAAAAAGACAACAAACAGTAGCACTTTGTTCAAGATTTCGTTGCAGTAACTGTAGTTCAGTGATGGCCAACCTTTTTGGCAGGCATGCCACAAGTTAAGCCCTGACCCTCCAAGTACCACTCCATTCCCCAGAGGTTTACCCAATAAAGGGGGGGGGCTCAATCCTCCAGCTGCATAGAGTGGAGAGGAGGCAGGAATCTGAGAAAGGTTAACCCTTTTCTGGCCCCACAACAGTATAATTTCATATGATAAGCAAAGATCCAAAGACCTGAATTCAGTCGTGGCTCCAGGGCCAGAGATGGGTCCCTGGCACCTCACTTGACACCTCTCACAGCAGCACCCTGCTGCCACTCTGCTCTACATGACCAGAGACTGAGCCCCTCTGCCTCCACTCCCACAGTTCACTTTACTGAGAAACTAGGGCTTGCACACCACAGCAGCTGAAATGCCACCTGTTGCATGCATGCACCAGGTTGGCCACCCCTGCACTGTCTGGTCTCTTGGCAACAGATGTTCCACACTTTAAGGCAACTGTAATACAGTCACCACTCAAATACTGATACCTGGCATCAATATCCAGACAAAAGGGCATACGGCAGGAGCAGTGGAAGGAGCCACAAGTTTAATTTTCCCTTCCCAACACTCAGGAGACAAGAGGGAAGCAGTTTTTCAGTGGCTCAAGAGGGCTGCCAGAAGAGTTCAACCCTTCCCCCAACTATGCAGTGTTACAACTTTAGGTGCACCACAAAAACAAATTAAAAAGGCACTGTTAAAAAAAAAAAAAACTGGCTGAAGTCGCTGGCCATATTTACACAGCGTAAGTATCTGTTTTTATATTCCACGGATGTCAACATCTGTGGAAAGGATGCCCTGACTTCAAGGATACCATACTGCTCCATGCTGCCTCCTAAACAGGAAGCAGTATAGCCAGGTCCATAAAGGTGGGTAAGTTAGCATTGCAAGGGGACAGTACCAGTTACCCCACCAGGATATTGTACAGACAGGACTATTCTGCTTTAGGGTTACGAAACAACCCACAAAGAGGAGCAGATTCCTTGAGGGCTCAGCTACCAAGTACAGTAAGTTTACATAGAGCCCTGGCTTCTGCACACAGAACTGTCCAAGCTCAGAATCTCAACCCTGGGGAGAGCAAAAACAAAATGGATATTTGGAACATAGCATCTTCTCGCTGCACATTGTAACAATGGGGGCTACCATCTGTTCCAAGCAGAATAGTTAAATATCAACACTTTGACCTCAAGCGGTATCAATCAAAAACTGCCAATATACAAAAACTCCCTAATTCTCTAAAAGTTGAGTTTAAACCAGATTAAATACAACTGTTTTTCTTTGAAAAAAGTGATTATGGCATGGCTGCTTACCTGGAAAATCTTAGGTGCACTCACTAAGGAGGCCAGTGCAGATGAAAGGGTGGCTGAGAAAATGCCTGCAGAAATCAGTGGTGCAAATCCTGATACCATGCTCATTACCTGAAAGCAGGAAAGAAACAGTTTTAGGCATTTAAGAACACTATACAGATTACCTGAGGAAAAAAAAATTTGTACAGTCAAAAAAGAAAAGTGCTACATAGACCACAAATTAGAGACCACAAAAATAGTTAGGAACTGCAAATGCAAACTGGTGTCAATGAATTTCTGGTTCTTTATCTCTACAATGTTTAGACTTACTCACCACATACTGTTTCTCAGGCAAAGTATGCAGGCCAGTAGGTTTGTTTCCTCTTATCACTAAGAGTCAGTTAAAAGGCATGTGCACACTGTTTTAGGCTCTGCAATTCAATACCAATTTCGGTGACATCCCCCCACCAGCCTCAGCCATGCAAGTCATTCTTCCATTCCCTCTGTAACAACTTGTAAGCTACAAAGCCACTTAACACAAGGCTTCTTATTCCTCAGATGCCACACTAAGATACATCTCAGACTACTTTGCAGCATATGATCATCACTTCCAAACTACTTTTGTCACAATACTTTTCTTTCCTGTGGAAGGGGCAAGTATCTACTTATGGACAATGGGGAAGAGGGCTGAAGTCCAAAAGGGCTGAAAGAGAACAAGAGGGTATTATGGAAGTCCATGTGCAGTAGACACAATCACATGAGCTGCCAACATTAAAGTTACAAAACACTGTAAAAATAAGAGGCAGAGGGGAATGGACTAAGTGACCACCTGCAGCATCCACCTCAATGCTAAAAGTCTAGCCAAGATTGCATTTTTGGAAAGGATGAATATTACCATGGATGAAGCACAGGTGTTCACAGTATACAGTCAGCCATTCCTGACTCAAGAACAACTTTAACATTGACCCCAACTATGAACATAGGCCTTAAGGGTGCTCTCTGTAGCCACTGAACAAAGTAAGGCTTGTCAGTCATTCATTCTAATGCAGCAATTACATACTAGCAAGCATTTGTGATGGGAAGGACAAGCCAGAATACAGCAAGCTTTATAGTTCCATCAAAAACAAAGATGCACAGACACCCCACGTGCACACAGTCAGTCACAGGAACACTTCCTTCCAATAAATCATTGTACATCTCAATTCACGAAGGACTTATACCTTTTCTAACTTACTTGAGGCCTTCACCACTGAGATTTACAATTACTGCATTTTGTACAAGGGAGGGAAGGATGGGGAAGACCTGAGGACAGGAGGGTGATCCAGGCGGATCTTGACAGGCTCAGGAAATGGGCGGACAAGAACCTGATGGTGTTCAACACCGAAAAATGCAAGGTTCTCCACCTTGGGAGGAAAAACCTGCAGCATGCTTATAGGCTGGGCAGTGCTACACTGGTTAGCGCTACAGATGAAAGGGACTTGGGGGTCATGACTGACCACAAGATGAACATGAGCCTTCAGTGTGATGCTGCGGCTAGTAAAGTGAGCAAAACGCTGGCTTGAATCCATAGATGCTTCTCAGGTAAATCCCGGGACATCATTCTCCCACTGTACTCGGCCTTGGTGAGGCCATAGCTGGAGTACTGCGTCCACTTTTAGGCTCTGCAATTCAAAAAGGATGTAGAGAAGCTTGAGAGGGTGCAGAGGAGAGCCACGCGCATGATGAGAGGTCAGGAAAACAGACCTTATGATGAGATGCTGAGAGCCAAGGGGCTCTACAGCCTAGAAAAGTGCAGGCTCAGGGGTGATCTGGTGGCCACCTATAAATTTATCGGGGGGGAACATCTGTTCACCAGAGCACCCTAAGGGATGGCAAGATCGAATGGCACAAATTCTGCTGCGACTGATTCAGGCTGGACATAAGAAAGAACTTCTTCACTGTCCGAGCCCCCAAGGTTTGGAATAGACTGCCGGAGGCAGTTCAAGCACCCACTTTGAACGCCTTCAAG